GTGTGTGTGTGTGTGTGTGTGTGTGTGTGTATGTTTGTTTGCATGTACGTGGTGAAACATCAAACTAATGTGCCAAGATCTTGATAATAAAAATGTATCTTATTTTATCTTATGCGCTTTACAACTATTAATAGCCCCGGTGGGCCATACGTGACAATCTAAAACATTTTTGGCGTTCCCAGAAGCACTGTCCTACTGTGCGGGCTGCCACTTTACTACATAGTAAATACGATCTTACACTGTGTATGGCCGAGTACCTGTTCACACCCTATAAGAGTGAAGTGAAAAAAGTTCACGTATAGTGCCTTTACCAAGAACACTATGTAGGGCCAAGTTGATCTTCGAACCCTTGCAATGGCATCCTAATGTTTACGAGTCTGGTAACCTAGCGACTAAGCAATGGATGCCACAAAATCAAATGGCTATAGACATGACCTCATACATCATTGTTATTATATGCCGTAATTAGGATCTTCCATGTGGAGCTTGAGGTTTGGTGGGAAATAACAAAAATAAAAACAAATTCAAACAACAGCTCTATACATAACTAGCTGGGCCCCCGTTCGATAAACGGATTGAGACAGAAGCGTGTTGATTGTTCCCAGTAGTAAGAAAAAGGAGTTCAGAAAAAGCGATGATGGGTATCAAACGAAAGGATCACAGTCAAATTTAGCACCCAGTAAAAAAAGAAAACATGAGGCTAGATCTATACAGGTGGCACACTTAAAATATTGCTCAGTACTGCGCGACATTGTGTGATAGTATCGAACGGAAGTACGACTTGAAATAAACACATCTGGCGGATTTTCTAAAATTACAGAGGCAGTAGCGTCGGCGCGCTTTTCCCTTTCGTCAACCCGCAGCCACCTCCGAATCGTCAGCCACCCCCAACCTTTGACACGGGTCAAACTTCCATCTATTTATAGGTAGTTAAATCTACCGGAACATGTATTAGGCGAAGTGATGTGCAATGATAGTCGCAATAGAGAGATTGTTTTGGTCTCTCTTTACTCATCTGCACCACACGAATTTAATTGATGTTTTCCCCTGGACTCTGCCTTTACTAAAGTCTCGAATCTAGATCTAGTTGTAATCTAATTGCAGGTTGCAGATTTAATAAATTGCCGACAGAGAGAGAGAGAGAGAGAGAGAGAGAG